TTTACCTTCCTTGTTTTCCAAGATGTTTGGGGCAAAACCACCTTCATCGCCCACATTGGTGGCATCCTGGCCATATTTCTTCTTGATGACATTTTTGAGATTGTGGTAGACCTCGGCTCCAATGCGCATGGCTTCTTTGAAGGTGCTCGCACCAACGGGCAGGATCATGAATTCCTGCATGGCTAGCTTGTTTCCTGCATGAGAGCCGCCGTTGATCACATTGAAGGCCTGGTGGAGGCGGAGAGGGTAAAAATGAGAGTGGCAGGTGAATGACTAATGACGGTAAAGGAGAATTTATTTTGGTGCACAGATCCTCACCGGCACAGGCAAGATAACCTCAGGGTTTCCTGCAAGCTCAGCAATGTGACGATACAGGGGGACTCCTTTCTCTGCTGCACCAGCTTTGCAAACAGCCAGAGACACACCCAGGATCGCATTTGCTCCAAATTTGGCTGTAAAGAAAAAATATAGTTCACTTTTAGCCTGTGCACAGTTTTTTAATTGATTCAGAAACTTCTTAGTTCCAGCACAGAACACCTCATTGGAAAAAAAAACTTCATATGCAGCTAAATAGCCAAACCAATGCTGCATTTACTCTGTATAATGAAAATTAAGGAACAGGAAAGTTCAGTAGTAAAGTTCAAGTCTTTCATAATCTATTCTATTAGTGTTAATATGAGATTTTATTTACTTGAAACTGACAGTAATATTGGCTTTACAGCCATTTTGCTACATGATTGTTGATACCTGCTGTCGTTCTTCTCAACAAGTGAAAATTTGTTTTTGAAATGGTTATTATAGAATAAAAGGACAAAGCTGTATGCTTACATTTGTTCTCTGTTCCATCCATGTCAATCATCATTTGGTCAATTTTCTCCTGCTCAACCACAGATACTTTCTGAGGAGATGGGAAAGAACAAGTTAAGAATAAACAACAACAAAAAATCTAAAACTAAATTTCTTAAAGTAAAAAGAATGAAAATTATTTTCTTACTTGACCAACAAGTGCAGGTGCAATGGATGAGTTTATGTTTTCTACGGCCTTTGAGACGCCTGTGACCGACAGATTATAATTATTCTTCCAGAACGTAAATCATGACAGACAATATTGAAGCGATATATTAAGCAACACATGCAGCTCTTTAATGCATATGTTGGCACATTGTGAACCATGCAGCAATATAGATGATTTTTTGTAAATGCTTTCACATTTTTTTCTTTTTACTGTAATTCAACAACATTTTATTAAATAGAAAATCAGCCACAGGCTAAACATACATACTGGGGTGAGGTCATGCTTAAACAAGTCGACATGCGTGTCATATCTGATCAACTCCTAAAGGCATTCAATGACAAGTTGTTTAATTAAATGACAGTAATGTACTGTCAAATGGACAAATATTAGTTTTTAATTAAAGACAGGCAACGGAAACTCACTAGCCCTTTCACATCTGTCGAAGAGGGAAAGAGAGAAAGTAAAGATGACAGATATAGATGGAAAAAATTGAACTGTGGGTAGTAATTAAATTTAGTGGTACAACACAAAAACCTATAGCTGACAAACAAACCTTTCCCAAGGTAGCGCGACTTGTCATTGTCCCGGAGCTCCAAGGCTTCATAGATTCCAGTTGAAGCTCCACTTGGTACAGCGGCCCTAAACAAGCCTGAGAGATGCACATATTATAAATCACTGAGGAAACATTGTAAAACAAGCAATTATATGATATGAACAACTAAAACAAGAATGGCACTCTTAATATGCCAGATCTTTTTCAGGTATATCAAAGCCCCCAAAAATCTCTCAATTTAATCATACATACGATCTTCACAGCCACAAGAATGTCTCAATATCACCAGCGTTTCAGACCAAATCAGAGCCTTCATTTGCCACAACTGCCCCTCCCTTTGTGATGTTGCCTGTGCATGGCTATGGGTGTTGTGAGGCCAAATGAAAATGCCCCAAACACAACTGAACAAAGTTGCCCTGTGCACAGGAGAGCCAAAAAACAAAACCTAATCCAGCTAGCTGCCGTGCAGACTGGTTAAGTGGATCTGTCACGTCTAATCCTTGGGTGGGTGCTCCTGTCAAGTTTTGGAGACTGTGTGAGATGTGTGTTCTTAAATCTTATTTTTTGTCAACTCTCATTCTCGCAGTCTCAAACTCAGTAGACTCAGTGGGCCTGTGTGGCTAGTATCATTACCATAGCAGAGAGTGGCCCATAGACAGACAGTATACAAATTACTTATTTTGTAGTCTGACAGCATTGTGTCGGGCAGGTGCATACAATGGATGAAAATGTAGGTGTCCAGACGAGTTAATGTTTTTATGATCTTACCATCTCACATCTGTAGACCTGGAGGGCCAACAGATGTACAGGGAGGGACTCACATGCTCTAACTTGCACACACACATTTGAACAAAGACCTTTAGATCACACCACACACAGGTGTGACTTCCTCTGACTTACTCTGTTTAACAGAATTTCTCCACGATATCTTATCATTGAAAATAATTGCCACCTATACATATCTATAATCTTTATATATAATCCTTAAGAAAAGAGAAAAATGTAATATGTTCTTTCTTGGCCCATATCCAATCCCTTCACCAGGTTTGGTACAAATCTGTTCAGCACTTGTGTGTAATCCTGATGACAAATAAACACAAACAAACAGACGGACAAAGCAGACTCCTCAGCAGAGATAATGACCTTTAGGGGAATAGCTGGTAAAAAAACTATTTTATTATTGAAGTACATGGAAAATAGGTTCACATTATCACTATGGCTTTTTTAAAATCCACTCCACCATTTTGACTGCCTTAATTCACACAAAGTTTTGAGTTGTATAGAACATTTAGACCTACCTTTGTCGGTGTAAAGGTCGACCTCTACAGTAGGGTTTCCACGAGAATCAAAGATCTCTCGAGCGTGGATCTTGACAATAGACATCGTGCAGGACCTTGAGATGAGACAGACAAGTTGAAATAATTCAGAGATTCATCTGTCAACTAGGGTTTCAGAAAAAAGAATAATGCAAGAACAAACTCAAATGTACAAGAAAATGTTGCTATTACTGAAAAACGTCTGTTTTACCTATTATCTGCTCTTTTGTCCTTGGACCTTACTCACAAAGATATCCTGACCAAGCTGAGAGCTTAGAGTACTAACAGGCATGCTACTACCCTAATTGGATTAGACTCTTCATCTGATTAATCACATGACAGTGTAAATACAGAAATGGACGTATCTGTCAAAGCAAGGTTAAGCTTACACTTACTACTAGTTTGTGCCTTTCCAGTACAATTTATCTTTTAGCACAGAGTCACTACAGAATTTAATCCAACAGAAACTGAATCCCTGCCATTAGCCACAGGACATGCTTCTCCATGAACTCCTTCCCTTTTGTTTGTCAGACACACAACTAACTAAGTAACCAACACAATGAGCACATGGTCTAAAGCACATACAGTGTATGGTCTAACGCAGAGTTATGTGAGACAAACAAACAAACATTTACTATTCTAAATATTTGTGATTTCATACTTCTTACACACTATCCAAGATTCCAAAACTAATAAATGCCTTAATCCAGACCTTGGAATTTGTTGAAGTGTATCAAACAGCAAAATGTGGCTTTTTTGGCTCAATTGTGGGATCAAATAGCATAATGATGACGCTATAGGCATCCAGGAATTACGCAAAACTCATCAAGTAAACTAAGGGAGATGACTGAGTTGCCTTTTTTCGAGTTTTGTCTGAGGGTTGGCCCACAGACTCACACTATATGAAAACCCCTGGTCTAAAACATGGCGCATGAAAAATGTCTCCAGCAGTTCTGCTGAGTCAGAGTAATGGTGCATAGTTCAAGAGGCATGGGTGTATTGAGGGAATAAAATGCAAAAACAAATCTGGGTGCCATCTCTCATCCCCTTTAAAAGCCAGGTGTCTTTGTAGATTTGTTTCTGTCAAAAGCATTAGGTGCAAAGAAGGACCCAGTCACTCTTCTGTAGTCTGAGAAGAAGGACATGAATTCCTGTTCCAACAAAGTCCAACATGTTCAAGTAAAACACACTCAACCAAAAATGTTTATTCATTAACTGGGAGCCATGCGAGTCTCAACTGGAACAAATAGTCCAACTTCAGGCTGTGTTCAGACTTTTGAATCTTTTGATAGAAACCCACGTAAAGGAAATGATGAAATAGCGTAAACTCTCACGCTTACTATTCTTATTAAAACATGTTTGCACAGTGAATCTCGAACCAAACAATACACGCGATTTATTAAAGATTAAAGCAGAGTGTGGACTTTCCCAGCTTTAATCCAGACTCCAAACACACCGTGTTTAGCGTTAGCATGAACCGGGGTCGTGGCTCAGCTAGCTAAACCGAACTGAACTCCACTGAACCCAGAAGAAGTTTAAACTTTACCAGAACTTCACAAGAGCGTGTCGACTACTGAAAAACACGAGGAAACAAAATTATTCACATGTTTTCATCGGAACAATGGAGACAGGATAAAACAACTAACTCTACCTTGATGTTAACCGCAGACAAGTTGAAGGTTTAAATGTCAGTGGCTGACAGGCTGGAGAGAGTTTCTTCTTCTGTTCACAGTTATTAGTTAGAAACTCGAGGCTTGGTTTCTGTTGCTGCCCTCTACAGTTTTTAACGTGAACTACATCATATGAGCACGATCCCTACACAGGTGAAGCCTGTGGCGAATGTAAAACTGCTTTAACCTGCTGTTTTTTAAAATTAATTTCATTTATACATTTCAAGTCAGTTTTATTTGTATAGCGCCAAATCACAATTTATATATTCATCCATCCATCCATCCACCTATCTTTCTATCTATCTATCTATCTAT